AGCAGTGCCTGCTCCCCTGCCACAAAACATCTTCTAGTCTAAGGTCCTGAGAGACAATGGGGAAAGGAAAAAAGATAATCTTGTGATTCAGCCCAAGCTTTGATGTGCTGAGACCATCTTCAGAGAAGATAATGCTAATGCAGTGGTAGGGTCCTTACAATATGAGGAGAGGTGTGAGGAATGGAACCTGGGCTGACTTAGGGTCATTTTTGATGTAGCCTCTCAGCTTGAAAAACAGGCTGCAAAAATGTGCTCAAATTTCTTTTCTTCCTTATCTGAAACCCGTATAAACCATTGGGCTTCAGAAGTCTTCTGTGAGGGACAGTGTTCTGAGAATCCAAGTTCTCAGATGTTGGAGCAAAGGAATACACTAGATATTAATTTTGCTGAAATCAAAGAATTTTGGTGACCGCTTTAAAGCAGAGGAACGTAAATCCTTGTAATGCATTTGCACATGGAATAGTGTCAGTCATCATCTACTCTGTTCTGATTTTCCAGAAACCTTGTTTACATTACAGTGTTGTGGAAGGAAGTCATCCTGTCTTGGGTCGTGCCTGTCTTCTCACCACTGTGATGCAAAGGGGAAGAAGAATGAGTGAAATTTCAAACCACAAATATGCTCTGGCCTTTTGACATCCCTTGAGTGGTTCCAGGAGTAAGAGAACCTGAATACATCATGCTTAGGTAGAGATGAGAGGGAGAAGGGTGCTCATGGGCATGCTGGCTTAATAGCTCAGTTCAGATGGTTTTATTTTTAATGTATACAGACGCCTCTGCTGCTGCGGTCCCAGTTGGAGGTTGAATTAACTGGGAACTACATCAGTGTAATGCCCTGTGCTATACTTCACTTTGGGAGATAATGCTAAAAAATTAATTTGATTAGGGTTTTTCTTTCACTTCAGTGGGTGTGGAAGGTCTGTGGGTTTGAAAATCTCAGTGTCATTTTGTGAATTTGTATAGGGCAGAATTTTGATAGGAATGCTTAGGAATTATTCTTAAAAATTTTTTAATGTCAGTGCATTTCTAGTAAGTAGGTAGGCTGAGCACTGTTTTCCCTGTCTGCCTGTAGATGGAGTTCTTCTGTCTAGATAAATAAGAAATTGGGTTTGATTTTATTTTTAATGGTATTCTTCCAGCGCTTGTAAATTATCAGGGATCATAAATCTCTAAATTTTACATGCTGTCTGGAGACTATGTGCATTTTTCGATATATAAAACTAAAGTAGATGCAAGGCTCTGAAACAAAATCTAGAGCAGAAGTATTTGGAAGCTTGGTGCTGTCCTATTTTTTATTAACTGAAAACAATTTAATCATAGAATTTTACTTGAGAAGACATTTTACAACATTCCAGAAATATATTGCCTGAGGTGTTTCTTGAACTTTTCTATCTTTCCTATAAAAGCAAACTTTACGTATCGGGAAGTTTTCATCTGCTTTTCAAGACTGTGTCATCCGTTTTAAAGCTTTGAGAACTTGATTCATTTGTATAATCTTTTTCTAAATGTACAAGGAAGCTTAGAATGCCTGGGTTTTGGCTCTTTTTTTACAACTGAACATGAAGATCAGTTGAACTGCATCTTTAAAAAGTTGTGCTTAGGATACTGAGATTTTCTCATTGCTTTTGTTGATTGCGCTTTATGATGAAATGTAGTCTTTTCTGTCATTTTCTGTGTTAATATTGTAACAGAAGCCTGGCTCTGCAAATAAAGGGATAAAACCAGGATGAATAATGGGGATTAAATTGCAGGAAAAACTTTCTCAGGATGAGCTCAGTTAAACTGCGGCAGTCTCTCTCACAGGGAAGCTTTTTTGGTTTGGGATGTTCTGAAACTATCCCACAGAAAAGGACAAAGCAGTAGATAGTAAGGAGCAATTAAAAAAAAAAAAAAAACCTCCTGGTGCCAGCCACTGCCTGTATAGCACATCTCGTGACCTGTCAGAATCATAAATATTTTAGGAAACAAAAAAACCCCCACAATCCTAGCAGAGGAATTAGCATTGATATGAATATTTGTAGCTTCTCTGACTGTTTGACGGTCTGTGCTCTGAAGGAGAACATTTGCCCTGTGCGTTGTTGTTCCAAGTTTAATTTGCTGGTAGGAAATATTAGAAAAGCCTTATTTTGAAACTCAGTTGCTGCATGTAGTCATCACTTCCCACGATGAACTTTCACTTCACTGTGATATACAATAACGGTGGTACGCATTCATTCATTTTCTCTAAATGCATTGTGGCTCATCTTGTTGCTGTTAAACCAAACCTGTTTTGGTACCAAACTTGGTAGTATCGTCAGTGATTTGCCATTACTGGTACAGCTGTGCCATATAAGGGGACATGACAACCACAGTATATACATTGTGTGTGTGCACTGGCAGTTAGTGAATAGTTTTCCATGAGCTATACAGATTTTTAAAATTGGAGGGAAAGAAAAGAATTGAACATGGAGAAAGAGTTAATTTATGCTATATGAGGACTTAGGATCAGCTGGCTTAATTTAGGCACATGTTTTTAAAACTGTCTACCTGGTGAGTATGAGAGCATATTTCTGCAGACATATAAAGAATTTAGGCTTTAAAAAATGTCAGTAGTGTCAGAACTAACAAACTGCAGAGTGCTTTTGGTCATTTGAGTATCTTATGTCTCTATTATTCTCTTTAAACTTGTCCTTGGAGAGGAAAAGCAACAATCCCACCTAGAAGGATGATTCATTAACCAGTTGATTTTGAAAGTTAGCTCTGCAAACTGTTGAAAATTAACAGCTCTCACCATCTGAAGTTTTTATTCTGGTGTAACGACGTCTATTTGACCTTGCATTTCCACCTACAGTGCTTCTTGTGATATTATGTTTATACATCTTAAAAGCGGTGATGGAGGTTGTATATGTTTATTGACCTTTAAAAACATTATGTCTTTAAATAGAATCTTTGAATTCTGTATATTCCTGTAAATCACCAGTCTGTTTTGTGGCTTCTGTAATCTGTTTCTTTAACCAGCATGAGAAGAGTAGGTACAGAAGAGGTACTGGCAGTCTGGAAAGATGTCTCAGTGTTTCTCTGTTAGTGAGCTGTGAGTAGCGGGGGGGTTTGGAGGATTAAGCCTTACTGATTAAAAGCACTCGTACAGAAAGGAATTTTTGAGGAAGTTTGCATGAGTCAGTGTAATATGCCAAATTGGTTGGTTTCAGATATGGTTTTGTGAGGCAGGGACATCAGAAAGGTCTTCCTTTCCTTTCCTGCTTACATATACTGGGTCTTAATTTTTCGTAATAGAAAATTCCCAACTCCATCCTTCTGTCTTACAAATCTTTGAATTCTGCTGCCTCTCTGCAAGTTGGTAAATTAACGTGTGCACGCTCAGGGCTCCCTTTTCCCAAAATGGCTGTTTTGATGTTCGTGGACTTCGTCCTGCTGTGCTTCATGCTGATGTTCCTAGCCCCTAGACTGGAAGAATCTGCTCAAGGGTACTCTGAAATTGAAGTCATTTTATAGTCCTGCAGCGGTAACTGAAGTTTTCTACCCAAATCTTACAACTTCTTTTCAATGTGGTTTTCCTCTTTCACCTGAAATTCCGGCTGCTTTGTGTTCTGCCAATGTGCCTGCGTTGCTGTCATCTCATACACGCTCATTCCACGCTCTCTTGTTTTTCTTTGCTCCCAGCTTTACAACCGTTTTCATCCAAGCTTGTATGCCCTGAGCAGCTTTCCACGTGCCCAGTGCTTTCCTCTTAGTTCTTCCTCTTTTTACAGAGCTGCTAAAGGAGTTCATAAAGGAATGGTTTTTTGCTTTATGTAGACAGAGAGTTCTTGGGGGGAAAAATGACTTGACCTTTTTTCACATCTTTTACATTTTATTTGTTATTTGTATGTTGCCGTAAGATAATGAGGACTTTGCGATACCTGATATTTAAGCCCAAATGAGTGTCTTTCCCATGTGTTTAAAACTGTATTAATTTTGCACTTTTACTATTGTAGGAGGTCGGTGAGCCGTTCAAAGAGGAGAAGGCTGTTGCTAAATACTTACGTTTCAACTGTCCAACAAAATCCACCAACATGATGGGCCACCGAGTTGATTATTTTATTGGTAGGGTTACTTTTAACCAGGGAATGAAACTTTCTTCTTCTAACATTGTAATTGAGCGGGGGAGGCTGTTTTGTTTTTATTATTAGTGCTTTATCTAATAAGTCCTGATCTTACAGATTGGTTTTGAAAACTTGACTAGGCGTTAGCCATAGAATTAATCTTATCAGCCTGAAGTAAACATGATAAACTTTTTCCTCTGTGATTTAAAGGTGTGTAGTTGTCAAGAGTGCTGTATTTCAGAATAGTGCCTAGCCTTAACTTTAAAGATTGAGAGGATGTGGAACATCACCAGAACTGACTGACTGGTCAGTGTGGTTCAAGGAATGTAAACTAAATGTTAAAATATATGTCATTAATTTTAATGCATTTTTAATTCCATTTTCCCCTCTAGCCTCAAAAGCTGTGGATTGCCTCCTGGATTCTAAATGGGCAAAGGCAAAGAAAGGAGAAGAGGCTTTATTTACAACCCGAGAGTCTGTAGTTGACTACTGCAACAGGTACAGTCTGGCCTAATTCATCAATTTTATTAATAAGTATAGTTGTCAAGTTGTCTTAGTTATTTAGGAACCAGTTTCACTTGGGCTTCGTGCATTCTAAAACATCTGTGGTTGTCTGTAAAAATAAAGATCGTATTTTTATTACTGTGTTTGAGGGTGGAAACAATGTCATTTTATCATCCTTGTTCTCAAAACTCTCTCATGCTTTTGTTATGTTCCTTGGGGCAACAAGATGAACAAAACAATTTTGCTAAATTTTATAGCTGTCTTAAGTTAGTAGGGTCAGATGTCCCCATGGACCTAGTCTGCTGCTATGCAGAAGCTGGACTTTGAGGTTCAATTTACGCCTCTCAGACGGTACGTCCCTGCCGCGTGGGGTGCTCGGAGTGCCTTGTTGAGATGAACGGCGTGTTCTCATTTGGGGCAGGCACGTAGGGTTAACGGGACTGTCTACCCGTGGAGAGCTCTGTGAAAGCCACTTAGAAATGAAGAATATGGCTAATACTTGGTCTTTTTTTTCCCTGGCCTCTTTTAGATAGCCATCCGGCAAGGTGAGATTCTTCCCCCCAGTTCCAGGGCTGATTTTGTGTTTGAACTTTAATCCTCTTGCTGATTTCTTCAAGGAAGTTTAGAAAAAAGCATTCTTTTAACGCAAGGAAAAAAATAAGTCTTCCCTTCCAGAGGCTTTGGACTGAGGAGTGAGTCTGTGTGTTTGTTCTTCAGTTACTGAAGCATCGGATGAGACAGCAGTGGGCCAAGTCCTTCAGCTCCAGTAGTGTTAAGAATGCCTGTGTAGCATGCAAAGAAAATCAGTTCAACCCTCTGCTCTCTGGCAGTGATTTTTATCGCCAGTACAATTTCGTGCCCCGATGAGCCATTTGGCACCATACCATGCCTGCAGCTTGGTTCCTCTTGCTTGCTTCTGTATCACTGATAACGCTAAGGCCACCTTTGGTCACTGAAGCTGGTTTTGGAGTTTTAAACATTAGTGCTGCTTCATCCTGTGTCATTTGCATCCATCGCTGCATAGTTAAAACAAGTTACTAATCGAATTTGTAGCCCTGCTCCAGTACATAAGGTCTCCCAGTAGACTTACATATCAATCTAAGTTCAGTAGGTTTTCTTCTGAGGGGTTTTGTTCACAGATAAGCTACATTGCTAATGCTTTGTTCAGCAGATCTGTAGAGGGTTTACAAGTCAGGAATCAGCAAGCAATTTGGACTTGAGTAGTTACCTCAAGGTCTGTCCCGCTTAGGGGTGTTGGCCGCGCTGATGCTGTGGCTCTGTGCTCGGAGCAGCCAGACCCATCCTGGGTGCTGCTCAGTACCTGAGCCCCCTAACTTCCAGCTGTGAAGAAAAGTAATTACTCCCAAACAAGTGATTTTCTGTTGCTAGAAAGGGAATCCACATCAACAGTTGCCTGAAGGAAGGTTTTTATATGCCTGAAACAACTTCACTTGGTAGTCAGCATGCACATGAGCTTAATTGGTAGGATGACTTCTCTCTCTTTAGCGAGTTTTCATAATTCAACAAGCAGTCCAGCGTAAGGATTTGGTCTGCAGCAAGAGATGAAAGAAACCAAGGACAAATCAAATCAATTTGGAGCAAAGGACCAGGATTTTCGGTATGAATGAGTGCTTGGATTTCACCCCCTGCTGCTTCCTCTCAGTCTGAAGAGCAGTGTTCTGTACCACTCCTCCTGTTCTGAATTCGACTGTGATCCTTTCAAGGACATTACCTGTGGGTGATGGCCTCAGGACTACCAAATACTACTCCCTCATGCCCCGCTGGCCCTAGATAAGCTTGCTATAAGGTGTGTTTGGAGCTGGCGTGAATGGAGAGCTTGCATATGGATCATAGTTCCAACAGGGTGATTTTATTCATCGCGCATCTCTTACCAAAGAACATAAGTCGTATGTCCACTTCCTTATTTTTCCTATGAAATACATTGACATGAACTTGCAAATAAATATTGGTTGGAGTGGCGTTAATGGGAAAGATAATTAAATAGTCCTGGTGGCTTCCTCCATCTTGTGCATTCATCTATATCTATGCAAAATGCTGCCACAGAAAAGTATGGGGTTTACCTGGTTTTGAACAGATGAACAAAAAAGCGAGGGAAGAAGCGAGACAGAGGATAATTAGGTCTGGTGTATTTATTTGCAAATAGAGCAGATGATGGTGACCTCTGTCTTTCACTCATTCTATTCGTGTTTATATTAAATAGATAATCTAGAATGGTATCTGGTAACGTAATTGAGTGCAAATGTTATTGTCGTAGCCACACTTAAATGTGTCGTTTAACTTCTTTCATTTTAAGACTCCTGAAAAAACAGTTCTTTCATCGAGCATTGAAAGTGATGAAAATGAAACCTGACAAGGACACAAAGAAAGAAAAGGAAAAAGGAAAAGCCGAGAGTGGGAAAGAAGAAGAGAAAAAGAGCAAGAAGGAAAGTGGCAAAGATGAAAAAACTAAGAAGGAGAAAGAAAAGGAAAAGAAAAAGGATGGTGAAAAAGAGGAGTGTAAGAAGGTAAGTGCTGTCTGTGAAAGAAGAGAAACCTGTAACAGATAATAGTGGATTGTTAAGGTTACATTGGCTTAAAAATATGGTTGGTTGATCTAAAATGTGACATGTTTTTTGCCTGGTTTTATCTCTAAAATAAGCTGCTTTTTTTTTTTTTTTTTAAACTTTGGAGTTGTTCTGGTTTTGATCTAGACCAAAAAAGAGGCTTCAGCTGGGCCTTTGTGTACCTCATCATCTTCTAACGTGGGCCGAGTTAATCAAAACCTACTTCTCTTCAGCTGCAGCGATGCTTTGTACAGGCGTACGTCAGCGTAGAGTGACACATTCGCGCGGGACTTAACACCTCAAAGCGGCGCAGCTGCACGTGTAAAACAAACAATTTTGCAGTGTTTGGTAATAAGAATGTTTGGGGTGTAATATTTGCTGCTGAGTGCTTGTGAAGAGCTGCGTAACGGTGGGCAGTTTTTCCGTGTGATGTTTTTTTCCGATCAGTTTTTCCATTGCTGATCGGTATCATGCCTAGTTTTCACAGACTTCTGATGTACTTCCTTTAAAGTTCACCCTAATGTTACTGTACAAGTTTTCATGTCCGTTCTCACATTTTCATTCCTGATTTCTTTTGTTAGTAGAACAGAATTCCTAAATTCAAATTTCAGGAATCTGCAGGAGAATCTTGATGAAGGGATGTGTGTTTTCTTCTGTGTGCAGTGGTATGAATCCGGTGAGAGGTAGCAGGACAGTGCTCAAAAGTTAATCCCGCTCAGACACTCCTACGTGAAATAACGGCACATTTAGAGAGAGGCGTAGGCTGTGTACAAAGGTCTAGGGCTCAGAAGAAAGCTACCTGGCTAATAAAAGAATTAAACCAAAACAATCTTGTGGGCAGTCTAAACATAGCAGCCAGCGTAAGATTACCAAACTCTCTTAGATTACCAAACTCTCCAGGCACTTTAAAATGTTGATTATGAAAGTTACAAACGCCTCTAATTCCTGGTCGTCTGGAGTGTTACATTATGAAATTTAATGTTAATTTTTAAGCTAATCATTATTTATTGAACTGATATTTTAGTGGTTTATATAAGCCAGTGAGTAGTAACTTGAACACCACCACAGGACAAGAATTAGAAAGTTAATTTCAAAGAAATAAGCAAAGAGAAGGGAACAGGAGACGGGGAAGAGGAAGCGCGAGATCCAGAAAGAGATTGAGGAGGACAGAGAATAAACAGGCAGAAACTGATTCTGAAAGGATGCCCATGGGGTAAACATGGCGCCAAGGTACGAAATAATTCTAATGAAGTTAGTGATTATGAAGTGTTGTACCCTGTTCGGGATATTTGTGCAGACTTTGTGATTATCAGGGGAGCTTTGCTATGCATTTGAAGACATCACGTAATCCTGAAGTCATAGTCTAGTCCTTAGACACTTAACTAAAAATAAAATTTTTCTTTGCTTATAATTTTCCTTTATTTGTGAGGTACCCAGCTGGTAATAAATGAGAACAGAATAAAGCATCTTTACTTAAAAAAAAAGAAAAAAGTGTGAATGTGATCTTAGGTTTGTGAAAAGTTATCAGATTCAATATATTACAATACTAGAAATTAAAACCCTCTTTATTTTTTTTTTTTATGTTTTAATATATATAATTTGTGTTCATCCTCAGGATGAGACCCCAGGAACACCCAAGAAAAAGGAAACTAAGAGGAAATTTAAGCTTGAGCCACACGAAGACCAAGTGTTCTTGGATGGAAATGAGGTAAGATTGCTGGGTACGTTCTAACTTTTAGTGTCCGTATGCTGTTGTCATGGAGTAGGTTAATTTACTGGATTTCTGCAAACTCTTTCTTGACATGTTGAAAGAAAAATTAATGGCAATGCAATGGCTGACCTTGAAATACTGGATTTTTAGGTATTTGCAAGGAGGCAAGATGGAGATAAATGCAGGACGGTAACTTACCGTCTTGCTTTTCTTAAGAATTTAATTCCTTATCAGCTCTGTAACGTAGAGTCATATTTGTGCTTTACGTTTTGGGATCAGTGTTAGGTCCTTCCTTCAGCACAACTGTACTGCGCTCAGCGCCAAAGCTGTGTCGCTGTACTTCAGCCTCCCCTAAGATTCCTGTGTACCTCTGGTTATAAAACGTACACGGCAGTGAACGCTGCCAGTAAATCACTTGTGTGGAAAACGCACTGCCTTTATCTTTTACTCCTCTCGGTTCTTTTACCACCTGCCTCGCTCTGTTGCATCCCGCCTCGCGCAAAACCACACCCGCATCACACACGCACCAGAATCACGCGGAGTAACCGGAAGGGCCTGCAGTGTTCAAAACAAGGCTGCCGTACTGTGTTGGCAGTGTAGCAGTACTTTTTGCCTTAACATCATTTACTTTTTTGTTTATTCATGAGCTGACTTCTTTAAAAACCGCCAACGTTTAAAAACTCCCAACGTCTTTCTTTAGTAGCTAATTTAGTGCCCGTCCTTGTGCGTTTATGTTAGAGCTGGGGTTTTTTCCTTTCCTTTGTTATTTTGCACTTGCACACACTGAATGTTAGCGCTGTCTTGTTGCCCAGTCACCAGTCATGGGTTTGTTTGGGCTCACAGAACAGTCGATAGGCAGCAGAGCCAACCTTCACACCCTGCGAGAAGTAGAATCTTAAATACCTGTTGCATCACGCTGAAAAACAGTGTTACTGCCTCTGAGGTGTCCTCTGGCTAGTTCCTATTCCCTCATCTGCCACGAGGGTTGCTGCTTTCTAGTGATCAGCAGCTTCCTTTCACACTTGACGATAGTTAAGATGCAAACTGTTTAGTTTGGTAAGAAAAAAAGGATTCTGATTTTACTAGTTCAGAAAATTCTGCGCTTTTCCAAGAAGCTCTTTTCATAAGGCTGAGCAAATCCGATTCGAGCGGATCCAGAGTTGTCGCACAAACATTCGCTGGAGCGTTGCAGCTGTAGGCCTCTAGGTAAGAGTGTGCTTGGGAGCCGAGGGTGCAGCTACGCTTACCTGCCGCCATCACGTGGGACTTGAGCTGAGCTCAGCCGCTCAGCTGGACGCTTTGTTCCATGTGTGCAGTCTGTTCTTTTTCTCTTCAGGGAATCCCTTTGAAGCTCGAGGCATTGTTTTGTTTCCACTTGGTGGACCTGAGAAATTTTTTCTTTATAAAAGTTTTTCGGCTTCACGCTGAACACCGTTAACAAACACAGAAAGATAAAAGCGAACCTCGATTCAGTGGTATTTCTGAATCTTTCCTTTCCCCGTCAGTGTTACTGTCTGATTGTTTACCCAGGATTTTACGTCACCTGTATGTTACTCTGGGTGCAACTTCTTTCATGAAGTAATTCTTTGGGAGATCCAGGCTGGGATTTCCACGGGTTTTCTTACACAGTACAGAAGCCCCTTCCCTCCTGGCTGGCAGCCTCGGGCACCACCAGTGCCTGCGCAGCTCTGCGCCCGAGATATTCAAAGCCCGCCTGGATGAAGTCCTGTGTAGCATGCTCTAGGTGAGCCTGCTTTAGCAGGGGGGTTGGACTGGATGATCTCCTGAGGTCCCTTCCAACCCTTACGATTCTGTGTGTGATTCTGTGTGCGTGGGCGGGCAGCCCCCTGGCTGGCTGTCCCCCCTTGCACCTCCTTCACTGGCAGAAGCCTGTTCCAAGCCCTGTTCAAAGAACAGCCCTGCCTGGGGCCTAGGAGCCCTTGCCCTGCTCCCCTGCCCTGCTACTGACCAGAGGGCCGTTGGTTCAGCACCGAGCGTTGCAGCATGGCAGTGAGCGTTTGGACGAGGAAATGAATGAAATCGTTTATCAGAGAGCTTGCTCTCCAAGTATAAACCGGATTATTTCTGTTGTAGGTGTATGTGTGGATCTATGACCCCGTTCACTTCAAAACTTTTGCCATGGGGCTTGTACTTGGTAAGTAAGGGTCAATATTGGTGAGCACACTGTGACTGTAGGCAGCGTATTGACAGCCTGGTCTGTCCTTGGGGGGCGGGAGGGTTGCCTTTTTTCTGGACAAAGCTGTTGCTTGTTCGGCAAGCAATTTGATACCAATCATATTATAGGAATTTTGATCTCGGGATGGAGGGGCTGCATGTATTTAAACAAACAAAACCAAACCTGACCCGTGCTTTAGCAAGTGCCTGAACTTGCACAGGGTTGCGAGTTGTTTATTTCCGTTGCTTTAAGCTAACGAGTAAGTTGCCCGATAGGCAAACGTGGCGGGTTATATAAAAATGTGAAAGATATTAAAGGATTTAGTTTAAACTATGAGTGATACCTTTCTGACCCTAGAACTTGTGTTTGTGTAAGATAAGCCCAGTCAGTTAATTTATTTATTTTTTTAATCTCAATTAGTTTTGATGTGAACTGCCATCGGTGAGCTAACGGACCATTGTACTGCTGGCCTAACACCCCAGACCTGTACCCTCCAGCATCCTCGCCCCGAGAGAACCTGAGAATCCGTGTCATGCCCTGGGGCCACACTGGGGCCTTTGGCCAGTCCTTGGGGCCCCCATCATCTCCACCCAGCTCCCTGTGCCCATGTCCCGTTGCGTGGGTTACAGGCAGCTCCCTGCTCCCCCCTGTGCTCAGGCCCTCAGAGGGGCTCTCTTTGCTCTGGTGGCTGAGCACCGCCACGCCGAGTTGCTGAGCACAGTCCTTGGTGTGTCACTACCCGCCCTGAGAAGAGGAGCAGGGGGACTCGGCAAGGCTTCATAGATACTGAAATGCTCTCAGCGCCTCTGACTGTGCTAAGCCAGTGCCAGGAATAAATGGTGAGCCTAGAACCTTTGTAGGCGTACCAGGAAAAACTAACCGCGCTTCTCGTGCATTTCTTCTTATCTTTCTGTTAGTGATTGCTGTTATAGCTGCAACTCTGTTCCCGCTCTGGCCAGCAGAAATGCGTGTTGGTGTTTATTACCTCAGCGTAGGCGCAGGCTGTTTTGTCGCCAGTATTCTTCTTCTTGCCGTTGGTAAGTGTCAGTCGTGTTCGCTTTATCAGCGGGTGAAGTCTAAAAGGGTGGAGGCTACGTCTTAAATGTGGTCTGAGATACGCGACCGCCTCACTCCCCGGTACGTTGTTGTTTTTTTCAGAATCACTTAGAAGTGTTATTTCAGAATCACTTTGGTTGGAAAAGCCCTTTGAGATCATCGAGTCCAACCTTTAACCTAACCCTGACATCCCACCACTAAACCCTGTCCCTAAGCACCTCATCTATCCTTCTTTTAAATACCTCCAGG